ATGGGTGGGGGAATGGGTGGATGGATAAGCAGACCTGTTTGTGAACTACCTGACTTTGAGTGTATCTATGTATAGCAAAATAGGAAAATGTATTCTTTGTACTCTTTTTGAATGGAGAGATTTCTAGTGGCTGGAAGCCAGTTCTGGAATAGTGAAACAGTATTATTGCTTTTATATTCCAACAGGAAATATGGGATGTATAAAATCAAAAAGGAAAGACAATCTGAATGACGATGGAATAGATTTGAAGACTCAACCAGTACGTAATACTGACAGAACTATTTATGTGAGAGACCCAACGTCCAATAAACAGCAAAGGCCAGTAAGTAGATAGTCTCAGGGGAGCGTTCCCACCGCAGGATCAAAGTGTGGCTGCGATACTCGGTCCCCCTCTGTAATATGTGCATGAGAACATCACACTGATCACTCGGGCCCCAAATAATTTCTGATCTGCATCATAAATTAATCCTTTGAAGACCATGTAAGCAGTTTAGGGAAGACTAAGGCACTTATTGGACAATAAACAGGCATTTGGTCACATGCTTCTATGTAGAAAAGAAATCTTCCCTGTTACTGTGGCTAAAGAGGGACAGTGAAGCACAATGTGGTGGTGCACACCTCGAATCCAGAACCCAGGAGGCTGAGGCGGAAGAGTTTCTGTGAGTCCAAGGCCAGCCTGGGCTGTGTAGTGAGTTTACCATGAAGTACACAGCGAGACTGTGTCTCAGAAAAAAGATGAGATTAGCACCAGTGACTGGGTGCAAAAAGAAACCCTGGATCCACATTAGAGGCTGATGGAGGTTATACTACTAAATTAACATGCATGGTGTTTCTGGATAGGCAAATTACCATTGTAGCATGTGGAATTATGGCTAGAAATGTAGCTACTCCAAGTATACAAGATTATTAATAGTTTTAAGAGTTTTCTGATTGTAAATACACATCACTGACGTGTGTGTGATGCCGCACGCTGACCCCACTGCCTCTGGCCTGGGTTCGCGCCTTGCCTCTCTTATTTGGAGAAGGGGCCTTGCTTCATTGCCGAACTGGTACCTCGGCTTCCCAGGCAGCCTGAGTTGACGCATGCGCCACCATGCCTGGCATCAATCTAAAAATTTTAAATGTGTTAACAAAGCATAGATATGAAACGACTTAGGGTATTAATATAGTTATCAGAAAGTCAAATAAGGGGGCTGGTGAGATGGCTCAGTGGTCTAAAGCACCTACTTGGAACAAGCTTGGCAAAGCACAGGGACCACGGTTCAATCCCCCAGCACCACATGCCAGCCAGCCCCGCCCCCTGGTGGGCTGAGCTGGCCACACACACACACACACACACACATAAATAAATAAAATTTTAAAAAAAGGCTATTAAAAAAAAAAGTCAAATAAGGAATTTAAGTCACACATGGTCTCCTTTTAGACCTCAGAGTTCCCTTTAAAAGGACCAATTTGTTTCTCGTACCGAATACTGCATAGCTTTAAACCCAGGCGTCTTTTATGTTTACTTTGTTCGTTATTTTGGTTTTGTTCTCAAATGATAAAATGAGATGTCCTTATTCAGAAAAACAAAAGAGACCAGTACAGTGTTACGTCTGTTTTCTGCTCTTGTTCAGAGTAAGGGATGTTACAGCTCAATTAGAAGGCTGAGACATAAGTGCGTCCGAAGTCTTTCCACCCCTCACGCGCCCCGGAAGTGTTCGCACCTGTGCCTGCTGTGGCCACAGATGCCCTCGTTTTGAGCCAGGTTGTTTGGCCTCTGTGGCCAGAGACCACGGAGCCACACGTGTGCCGTGGACTGGCTGCCTTTGGGTCTAACAAAGAGGCGAAGTCAGAGTGCTGCTAACCCAGCAGCACTCCAGGAAAAGTTGTTTTCAAGAAAGATCTAAGCAGCAGTACAAGGGCCCCACGCAGTCTGTCCTTTGGTCCTGCAGAAGGCATTAGGCTGGGCTGGGTGGGTGGCATTGGGCTGTAGCCCCAGCTCTGTCAGGGGCTGAGGCAAGCGCTCTTGAGCTTATGAGTTCAAGACCCGGCCTGGGGACAGTGAGGTCTCCTAAGGAAAGAAAAGCATTAGCAACTTTTGTAAGTTAAGCCTGATATTTGAAAATCTCCCTGCTGCTTTTAATGCATTTCTCTTCTAATTATTGCCTCTGAATCATGTAAAATAAATTATAGTTCCTAATCATGCAAATCTAAATGACAAAAGTTTTTGGATCAGTATAGAGCTTCTTTGCATAGGTCTTAAAGGATAACGCAGATCCAGGGATTGTTGAGTCAATCTTTTGGGGTAGTGATTTTCCCTTCTCACTGAATTAGAGATACAGACTGACTTGTATGAAAAATTTGAATTTAAGTATAATCCACTTTCTTCCCATTCCATGAAATCTTTAATCAAGGAAGTAAGTTCATGGCTCATGAGGCCACTGGCAGCACCTTCCTTGGGAAAGGTTAGGAGACGTCACAGGGCCTCCTGGCCTGGCGCAAGGGGGCAGAGGCAGCCTGCTGGGCCTGCAGGCCCTCCCAGCAGCTCTCTTCCCACCCCAGCATCCGCGCTGTCCCCTGCGCCCCCAGTCAGTCTGGGTTGGCCTGGAGAGCTTGGGCCAGCTAGGATTTGCTCCCAGCTGCTAGTGGCAGCTGGCCACACGCCCTTCACCATGTCCCAGAAGCGTGCAGATGGCTGGTATGATAAGCCCCGAGATTATCAGGGCCCGCTGCTGCTGCCTTCCCGTCTGCTGTCCCTGGAGTTAGTTTCCATGGCTGCTGGGGCTCAGGCCTTCACTTGTGACAAAGCAGAAAGACTGAGCAGGAGAAGGGACAAGGCACAGGCTGCTCCTCCCCGCCGGTCCGCATGGGCACTGCAGGCTTGGAGGAGACCCCTGAGCCGTGAATCGCTGTGTTGAATGACGTGAGGGTTCTGTTGCTCTCCAAGAGGGCAGCCCACAGTGGGGCGGGCACGCAGCCACGGCCGCCCAGAGCCCAGGGCAGCGTCTGCCGGCACAAGCAAGCGGCTCTTTAGCAGGAGGAGCAGAGTCCGACGCGGGACAAAGCAGTCATACTCCCAGCTTACTCAGTTAGCGAATTCATACCCGCTTACTACTGTTAGGAAAAGGATGCACGAGTGCATGTGAGTAGGAAAGGCGAAGTGTAAATCATGGTCTACAATACGCTCTCTCTTGTAGGTTCCGGAATCTCAGCTTTTACCAGGACAGAGGTTTCAAGCGAAAGGTGGGTTTCCTTAGCAACCGAGTTAATGGTTTTTTTTTTCTTACTGTTCAAAGAAATCACAGTCCAGGATGTGTGTACTTTTTATTGTGGGAAAAAAATATACACAACATGAAATTTACCATTTTTGCCCTTTTAAGTGTCAGGCTCAGCACTAAGCTTCATGTTGTTGTGTACCCGCCACCAGCATCCGTCTGAGAACTCTCTTGTCGGCCTTAGACACCGACTCCTTGTATCCTTTCCCAGGCGCCCCTGGGATCCCATGGCTCTTGCTGGCTCTGTGATCCGATTATTCTAGATCATTTGGTTAGACACGTAGAGTTAGACTCTGAGGCCGGCAGACGTGACTTCCACTCATGGCGCCACGCACTGAGCATAGAGCGTGCTGCTCTGTGGCCCCAGCCCCTCCCAGCAGTAGGATGTGGCCGCGTCCCACCTGCCCCTCTCCTGTCCCTGCTTCCTCGCCTCCTTTGGCCCCAGAGGGATTTGTGAAACCATTTCTGCTGATTGAGTCTTAAAAACTTCTGCTTGTGTTCTTCATTGCTAGATCCGGAGGAGCAAGGGGACATTGTGGTGGCCTTGTACCCCTATGATGGCATCCACCCTGATGACTTGTCTTTCAAGAAGGGAGAGAAGATGAAAGTCCTAGAGGAGTGAGTGCCCAGGCGCCTGCAGGACCCCCGCCCCTTGCCTCCGGGCCTGACTCCCTTTGCGGGTGGGCGTGAGGCCGCCAGCCCCCGGTGGCCATCAGTGAGTGGTGGAAGGAGCCGGGCAGGAAGCCACACACGCTCCCCACGAGTTTGCCCTTTGAAGCAGAAACGAGTCCTTCTCAGGCTGCGCTGCGCGGGGAGCTGGGGTCTGTGTGAGGCCTGCGGGCCATGTTAAGCGGCTGCTTTAGCTGCGTCTCACCCAGATGCACTGGGTTCATGTCCCAGCTGTGCGGTCTCCGGGGTTCGGTGCTGCAGCGCAGCGTGATGGGAAAGCCCCGCTCAGCAGCACGGCGCTTCCGAGAAGATGCCTGGACTTTGGTCTCCCTGACCCCAGCGTGGCAACCCACAGACACGTGGCCCCGCTGAGGCCCCAGGGCCCTGGGAGAATGAAGAACTCGGAATATTGTAATTCTGGCTTACTTTTCCAACCGACTTGGCATGAAGAGTCACCCTGACGTGCTGTGCAGAGGGAGGGGACTCCATTATTAAGGGCTGATTGAGCAATGCTGCTTTTGGGTTGAGTCCAAGCCGAGTCTAAGCCTGGCCCTGCCTCAGGATGGCTGTGTGCCACTGAAAATCTAGGCAGAGTCTCCAAGTTGGCATCTTCAGTTATGCAGTGGGAATGACAGTCCCTCGAGCATGGGCTTGTCACGAGCGTGGCTGTGTGTGCGTGTGCGTGTGCGTGTGTGTGCATGTGTGTGCATGTGTGTGTGCATGTGTGTGCGTGTGTGCGCGTGTGCGCGTGTGCGCGTGTGTGCGTGTGTGTGCGCGTGTGTGCGTGTGTGTGCATGTGTGTGCGTGCGTGTGTGCGTGTGTGCATGCGTGTGCGTGTGTGCGCGTGCGTGCTTGCGTGTGTGCGCGTGTGCGCGTGTGTGTGCGTGTGTGCATGTGTGTGCGTGCGTGTGTGTGTGCACGTGTGCGCATGCATGTGCGTGTGCGCGTGCGCGTGTGTGCGTGCGTGTGCGTGTGTGCATGTGTGTGTGCGTGTGTGTGCATGTGTGTGCATGCGTGTGTGCGTGTGTGTGCGCGTGCACGCGCGGCCCTCGCTGGCTGTCGCACGTCTCAGGAGACGGGTCCCAGGCCCTCCTGGATACTACAATCCACTGATCCCCAAGTCCCTTCCACAGAGTATTGTCTAGCGTTTGCACAACACTCTGCAGAGCCTCCGGCTTGCTCCCGGCCCCTCTAGATTCCTCGCAGGCCCTGAGCAACGCAGATGCTGAGGAAGTGATTCCTGTGCAGTGTTACTCAGGGAATAATGAACAGGGAAAGGTCCCGTGTGTGTCCGACGCAGACCCGGGGCAGAACCAGCTTTCCAAAGGCATTTTCAGCCTGTGCCAGCGGGCGGTGCAGGCACAGAGCCCAGGACCTGAAGGCCCAGCTGTGCACGTACACACTGTGCCGGTGGGCAGCAGGCGGCGGCTGAGCGAAGCTGGCCGTCCTCGTGTCCCTCGGTACAGCACCACCTGTTTGCCCTTTCCAGCCCCGAGCTCTCCTCTGCTGGCCCCCAGCCTACCCTGCGTCTTGAGGGCGAGGCACCTGCTTAGAATTGTTTTATGGCGGTTCCTTCCACTCCTGGCGTTCACCTCCATGCAAATTAGGTGTTTTAGCAAGGGAATTGGAGCGTTGAACTGCGGCCCATTCTTCCCTCAGCCTGCGTTCCTAAGGCCTTTCTCAGCTCACAGCATCCATCTTGCCACCCCCCTTGTGCAGCCCACATTTAAGCCGCAAGCCTGTTCCTCTGCAGTTTTGTGAACTGGAGGGGGGGCTTGGTGCGGTGGACTCTGCTGTGGACTCTGCCCTGCCCCCCTGCAAACAGATGCCCTCAGGCGGGTGCTGTTTAGCCCTTCCGTATTGGATGCAAATGCTCTCTGTGTGCGTTTTTGTTCCAGACACGGAGAGTGGTGGAAAGCCAAGTCCCTTTCAACCAAGAGAGAAGGCTTCATTCCCAGCAACTACGTGGCCAAGGTCAACACCTTAGAAACGGAAGAGTGAGTCCTCTTTGTTGCCGCCCTGAGGACAGTGCTCTCTGTGGTGAGGCACTTGTCTGTCACCGTCCTCTGCCCGCCGGAGCTAAGGCCTCTGAGCCGCTGCACTGTCTTCACAGGTGGTTTTTCAAGGACATAACCAGGAAAGACGCAGAGCGACAGCTCCTGGCACCAGGGAACAGTGTGGGGGCCTTTCTCATCAGAGAGAGTGAAACTCTCAAAGGTAGGAAGTGGTTGAGGATCTCCTGTAAATGCTACCTAGAAAGCAATTGTTCAGAAAATATTCTGCAACTGCTAAAAAGGGATATAGTCAGTTCTGGTAGTGAAAGTTTGTGCTTTGATGACAGTAAACTCAAATGATGCATTTTGCTACTGATGTTAGCAGGAGTAATTATGACCAGGCCTTCTTGTGCCTCACGTTTGCTGGGTTTCGTGCATTACTATTCAGGCTGAACCTTAAAGTTTTCAGAGAAGGGAAATCAGAATGAGTCTTCTATTCAGCTACTAGCATGGAAATAAAAGATAGCGTGCTGGCAGCTTGGGGAGCAAAGAAAGTGCTGGCTTTGTTTGTCCACTTTTAAGTTTTATAAGACTTTTAAAATTATGCATTATGTACATGTTCAGCTTATATTTTGCATATTTTATGAAGAATTGTATAGCACAGTGTTGTACAATGCAAACTTTATTATATTTTTTCCTTTCTGTATTTAGTGCAGAGTCTACAGGGTCTCACTACGTAGATCAGACTCAGTGCTTTTCCTGTTTTCAGCCTCCCAAGCACTGGTATTACAGGCGCGCACCACCACACCCAGTCTCAGTTGCGACTCAGTGCACCCCGGGGTGGGGGTGGGGGCCTGCACTGTGTGCTGGGGATCAGCCCTGGGCGCCCTGTGGTCCGACGAGCTGTCGCAGACTTTACTTGTGCAGTGTAAACATGGCCTTTCCTTCCCTTCCTTCCCACAGGAAGCTTCTCCTTGTCTGTCAGAGACTATGACCCTGTGCACGGCGATGTCATTAAGCACTACAAAATCCGAAGTCTGGACAATGGGGGCTATTACATCTCTCCACGGATCACTTTTCCCTGTATCAGTGACATGATTAAGCATTACCAAAGTAAGTAACACCGAAGGTTGAACAAGCCAGAGCATGTGTGTTAGGATAAGTGTGAGGTGTCAGAGCTGCTTTTTGTATGAAAACAGTTTATGTATCATGTCTGTCTTAGTTAAAGCTGGCAGCTTATAGTCTACAATTGATTCTAAATTTAACTATGACTAAATATACAAGTGTTCCTTAATTTAAGATGAAGTCATAGTCCTATAAACCCATGAAAAGTTACAAATATGCAAGTTGACATTTTTGGTTTTTGGTACCAGGGATTGAACTCAGGACCTTGGACTTGCTAGGCAGGCCCTTATGCTACTGAGCTATCTCCCCAGCCAGATATGCAAGTTGAACATGCATTTAATGTTCCTAATCTGTCAGACAACGTAGCTCAGCCTAGCTACATAAGATGCGCTCTGCACACTTGCATTAGCCTGCAGTTGGGTAAAATCATCTACCACCACCAAGCCAGTGTTATCTAACAATATTGAGAAGCTCACTAAGTTATTTAACACTGTACCAAAGGTGAAAGCCAGAACAGTTGCACAGGGGGGGCACTTTTCTACTGTGATAAAGTAACTAAAAAAAAACCCAAACCTAAATGGAACTGTTGTCAGCTGGAGACTCACTGATTGTGGAGACGCATTCAAAGTGAGAGTTGATCTTTTGTGCTGCTTGGCGTGTGACATTCCACAGTCGGAGAAAACGTCGGGGTTGCGGGGTTTTGGCACAGTGGATATTTTTCCGATGAGTCCAAGTGTTTTAAAACAGAATACAGTTTGTGGATCTGTGTGTGTGTGTGTGTGTGTGTGTGTGTGTGTGCACGCGCGTATATGTCATGTGTAGAAGTATATCATACTGTTGGTAAAAGACACAGTGTCACCGACAGCAGCAGGGCAGTGTTCCTGTCTCTGGTGTCACTTTCCAGCCCTGTGCTGTGGCCTTTAGGTCCACTTCCTGTGTGTCTAGCACTGGCTCTGTAGGTTGGTCCTGCTGCTGCTTTCTCTAAGAGACTACACGTTGTCAGTGGGCTTCGGACCCAAAATACAGCGAGAGCCAAGGGCCGGCTTTCCCGGCATCCCTTCCCTCGCGTCTTCTGTCATTCATGTATCTAGCCTACCGCGGCCCTGGGGCGCAGTTCCGAGCTGGGGGCCCGGGGGGCCCTGGCTGTGTCCTCGCCTTTGTGCACCGTGGCACTTATGTGGGCTCAAGAATCTGAAAGCACATTCCATGAAGTGTGAGCGTTGCTCAGTGCCTTTTTGCCTTGCCATTTTGCTTTGCTGTCTTCGTACATTAGCAATAGCACTGGTCAAATAAAATGTTTCAAGTTGTCTTAAGAATTTCAGAAGTCACGGTTATGGATGCGATAGCTGTGTCAGCAAATCGGTGTGTAGACAGTGGCACCTGAGATGTTATAAAATTAATAGTCCAAGCTCTGCTTTGTAGAATCCAGTGAGCCACAAAGTATGTACAGCGGACTCTTCACAGCTGTAGATTCTATGCCTGACAATTTAGCAGTCGACCAGGGATAGAAAAGATTTTTAAAAGTTGAATCTCTATTGAACATATGCAACTTTTTTATATAGATTTTTATCACATTAAGTATTATAGGTAATCTAAGGATGACCCAAAGTATACGGAAAGAAGTTCATAGGCTTGAGGCAAATGCGGCGTTATGTTGTGTCTTGGACACCCGTGAACTTTGGTGTGGTGTGGGCTGTCCCAGCACCATGCTCTTTCGACACGGCTGTGGGCACTCCATAACCTTGGTTTTCTCTCTCAAACTAGAGCAGGCAGACGGCTTGTGCAGAAGGTTGGAGAAGGCATGCATTAGTCCCAAGCCACAGAAGCCGTGGGACAAGGACGCCTGGGAAATCCCGCGCGAGTCCATCAAGCTGGTGAAGAAGCTCGGCGCCGGGCAGTTCGGGGAAGTCTGGATGGGTGAGTGCCTGGCGGGGTCTGCCTGAGGCTGGGGGGAGGCGCTGGCCGGGTTTTCCAGCTTCCGAGCCAGCCTCCGAGCGGTGTCCGAGGCGCCCTTGCTCTACTTCCTCCTGGTCACGTGGGACCGAGGTTGACCTGCAAAGTCTGTTGCGTCAGCTCCTGCTCTTCCTTGTGACTTCATGGTTCTCTGACTGTAAGTCAGGGAGCAGCGAGTGTTTATCCAGAGTGTTCTGTCCACTCCTCCATAATCCTGTGGCCCCCGGTCCCAAGTCTGCACATGGGAAGTAGAGCAAATTGGCTTCCAGCTCAGGGAGAGCTGCGCTTAGGGTTAGGGCTGCTGGCTTAATAAAAAACCTCCCGTTTATTGCAATTTGAGGGTCACCAAGAGCCTCTCCAAAGACTCTCCAACTAGCATCATTAGTGAGCCCTTCCTTATGGCTAAGTGTCACCTTCCCAGTCCGCCAAGACTGGACATGCCCAGCTCGCTGCAGGGGCCTTCTCCAGGGGTTCTTTGGCCTGTCTTCTTTTGCGATAAGAATCCAAAAGAATTTTAAATCATCCTCATCACAGTGTCCTTGTGGCTGTCATGAGAAAATGCAGTGGCTGCTGGCAAGGGTGGTGTGGGAGGTCAGACACCGCTGACTAAGTCGCCTTCCCTGCGCCCGTTGTGTGTGAGTGAAAGCAGAAGTGGTTTCCAGGTAGAAAGGGCAGTCAGCTTCCTATGATGCTGCAGCCGAAGCTAAGCAGGATCTGGGCCTTCCAGCCTGGTGCAACTGCGTGGTCTCGCCGCTGCTGCAGCCAGGGCCCTCGGAGAGAGAGATTTCCCTCAAAGATGGGCCCTGGACCACAGTGCTGTGTGCTCTCTCCAGTGGCCAAAGTGGCTTTAAGTGCCACAGACAGAGACCCAGCCCTCATCTGAGTCTTGCTGAGCTGCCTGAACTCACGCAAGCTGCCGCCGCGCTCAGGAAAATTGTAATCATGCCGCATCCCACCACCATCTCGATGCCAGCTGGCAGGGCGGGTCAGGCACTCTGGTTTTGGACCTGTGGGCAGATCGGTGGTCTGTGGCCCTCACTGTGGACATGGTCCCTTCCCAGACGCGTTCTGTTGCTTATGTCAGGTTCTGGTCCTCATTTTTCTCCTCTTTTAAATTAAAAACTTAATGTGAAATTAGTGTGGCATAAAATTAGTCATTTTACAGGGAGCCCTTCCTGGGCGTTGGGCGCCTTGGTGTGCTGCAGGGCTGCCGCCTCCACTCAGTTCTGAGATATTCTCTCCACACCAGAATAAAGCGCTTACCTGCTCACTGGCCCTCGCCCCAGTCCCAGCAGCCACAGAGCCACTTCTGCCTCTCTGAATTTGACTGTCCTGGGTGGCTCTCGTAAGTCTTGGGGTCGTAGCACATTTGTCCCTTCGTGTCATTGAGCTTATTTCACTTAGCAAAATGCTCTCGAGTGGCATCCGTGTTGCAGCACAGGGCAGTTTCCTTCTGTTCTGCGGCCAAGTGATGCTCCGTTGTGTGAACACACCACGACGTGCCTCCCCACTTTTGGGTGGTGAGTTTCCGGCTTTTGGCTCCTGGGAGCAGTGCTGCTGTGTACACCCTCGTGGGACCTGCTGTGGGGACACCGTTTGCACTTCTCTCTGGTGTGCGCTGGGAGGGCGCAGCCATGGTGGACGCTGGGGTTGGACTTTTGGGGAGCTCTAAAGCTATTATTTGCTCATTTAAAAATGACTTGCCTTCTCCACATTTCCCCTTGAGATGTTTTTATTTATGTCTTAATATTTATTTTAACAAATGCAAAGAAATAAAGGCAGGAATAGTGTAATGAAAACTGTATCACCCATGTGTGTCTGTCTCTGTTGCTCTGTCTCTCCGTCTCTCAGCCCTTCTGTCTACGTCTCCCTTGGGCCTTCTGTCCATGTGTCTGTCTGTCTGTCTGTCTGTCTGTCTCTCTCTCTCTCACACACAGACACACACACACACACATGCATGCACACATGTTGTTGAGCCAACGGAGAGTAAGCAGAGATGTGGTGACGGTTTACTCCGAGATGGTCAAGCGCGCATTCCGTCCAGGCAGGACAGGCTCCTGCACAATCCAAGATGACATCTGGAAGCTTGGCCTTGGTGCCTGCTGCTGTTTACCACAGTGCTCCTCATTGAGCTTACACGGCTGTGCCCTGAGGCCACTTCCCTGACCTAGGACAGCACATGTGCGTCTCTGATCTGCACCAGCCCCGCATCTTACCTTCATCTTTCACAGCGCCCACAGTTTACAGGATGCGGGTCGCTTTATTTTCAGAGTGTCCCACAGGGCAGGGGGGGCGGTTCTGATGCTTCTCACAGTTCGGCTCAGCCAGGGCCTGCACGTGACCTCTGGCTGCCCACGTGAGCCCTGCTCTTGGCACGTACCAGGAGGCTCATGGTGTCCCTTCCATTCTTGCTGGTGTTCTGTTTAGCTTTAAAGAGATGCACGAGGTTTCTCCACTTTTGTACTGATAAATGATCTGTGGGAGGTTCCTTAAGGCTGTGTAAAGAGTTTTCCCGAAGCCTTCTTCGCTCACCGTTCATTTCCCCTCTTGGAGCCTCCCGCATCTCTGAAGCCACGCATCCTCCTGTCTTCCTCCTTTCTCCCTAAACTGCTCTGCTCCGACTCCCCACTTGCTGCAGGAGCCTTGGGGCTCCCCTGCCAGGCCCATGCTCACAAGGGCCGTCTCTTTCCTGAGAGACCGGCAGAGCAGTCCTTCCTGCGGCTGCCTGTCATCGGGCTCTAGTCCGAGTGCACCCGCGGCACTTCTGGGTGTGCAGCCGCACCCGTGAGTGAGGATGGAGACGGGCGGGGCGGGTAGCACTGCCTCTGCAGCTCCGTCTGTGCACATTTTCACACTCAGCGTAGCCGCTTGGTGAGAGGAGCAGTACTATCACTTGGTGAGATTAGGTAAGGAGACTGCCCAAGGTCATTCTAAACTATGAGAAAGCCAAGCTGAGAGGGCTCTAGGAGCCCTCGACTCCATTTGCTGAAGCCGTCGACAGTGAACCTGACTTCTCCGGCCTCAGTTTCCACATCCGTGAAGTGGACAAGGGCCAGATCGTCCGTTGTTGAGTGGCAGAGCAAGATTATGTTACGATCCAATCTGGCGTTTTGGTGCTGTTTGTATTATTGTTTTCATTTCTCTGCGTTTAACTCTAGTCCCAGAAGCTGCATTTTGATGGGATTTTCCAGCTTTAGTTATGAAATCTAACTATAAATTGTGCGGCTCGGCCCTTCAGTGCGTAAGTGCTGTGAGGGGTGTACACGAGCTCCAAAGTCGAGGAGTCGCTGAGCCACGGGGCTCTCGTTCACTGTAAGGCAGCCTCCGGAACGGAAGGCCTGCAGTTTTGCCTCCGCCCTGCCATGACCCGCTGTGAAGCCAGGATGAAAGGACAGAGGTGCGCTGAGGACGCGGTCGCAGGCGGCCAAGCGCAGCCACGCACGCCTGGAGCTGGGGCGGCTCGCGCATGCGTGCGTGAGCCATATCGCAGCCCGTACTGCTTTAAATGCGCCTCTGCTCACCACGCTGGGTGCCGGCAGGATGAGCTCTGCTCAGCCGGGTCGCACAGCTCCGGAGCTTCCTGTACTGTGAGCGGCTCCGGCGTGGGCGTCCCTGGGCGCGCGTCAGCAGAGCAAGGGCTGGCCAGCTAAGGAGTGAATGAAGAGGAGGTTGGCGAGCCGCTCCGCTGACCTGTGGAAGCTGTCGATGGGGGTGGAGGGGACCGGGATAGGTCTCCTGCACGGTTTTTTAAAAGAAATTTCAGGAGTGCAAGCAAGTAGCCTAGTAAGTGCTTGGCCAACTCCATGGAAGGACACAGAGGCGCCATCTGGCCGCCTGACCTGCTCATTCCAGACAAAGTGGAGGTTAGGCCGGTGGAAGTTGAGAGCAAGGCGGCGGTGGGCACTGGAAAGACTGGACAGCCCCAGCCCGCGCAGTCTGCCTGCCGTGGTGGAGCGCTGCCGCACCGGCCCTTCGTGGAACCGAGGAAGCGTCCTGGCTTCCCCTTTCTCTAATTCCTGTCCCTCTGTCACCCTTTTCTGCTCATGAGCACCCCCAGGGCCATGTGCCCAACGCTTAGGCTTCACCATGTACCCTGGTAGTGCCTGGGAGAAATGGCAGTTTAGGAAAGAGGACAATTGCAGAGCTGGAAAATACTGCATTTTTCTAACCAGAATGTTGCTTTTTATTCAGTCTATTGAAAACAGTAAAAAAATCTCATGAAACTGAGTCATTTGACAGTGAAAAGCACTGAAGGATTGATACTACGTGTGGATGACTCTTTCAGTGAAAGAAAAAAGTAATACAGAGAGACCCTGGTGCCGTTTATCCAGTTGTCTTCACTGGTGACATCTTGCAAAAGCGTAACCACATCACTTCTAGGATGCTGACATTGATAGTTACTTTTGTCAACTGTGTTTTTCCCCTTCTTGAATGGAAGGAAGGAAGAAATGAAAGGAAGGGAAGGGAAGGATAAGGATGGGAAAGATAGGGATAGGATAGGAATAGGGATAGGGATAGGGATAGGGATAGGATAGGATAGGATAGGATAGGGTAGGGATACGGTAGGGTAGGGTAGGGTAGGGTAGGGTAGGGTAGGGTAGGGTAGGGTAGGGTAGAGTAGGATAGGGTAGGGTAGAGTAGGATAGGGTAGGGTAGGGTAGGGTAGGGTAGGGTAGTCAACGTGAAGTTTTTTGCTGATAGCTCTGTAGCTACTGAAGTGAGTTCAGTCTGCTGATCACATGTCGCAGAAGGATACTGAGCACAAATGAAGGAATGTTGATCGCGGCTGCTAAGACGCTCACCGTGCGGCATCTCCATCTGACCGCCTGACGGTGTAACAGCAAGCAAGCCGTGCGTAACCTACAGCAGCCACAGCTGAGTTCTGATTTCTTAGTGGTTAGCAGCCCAGCTTTTCTCATGGACAAGCAAAATGCTACAATTATGCATTGTTACCCCAACACGTT